AAACCTCGATTGGGGTGGTATCTATGATTCCTAATAGGTATTAGGATAAATATAATAGAAAACTGATGGAAGAATAAGAAATGCAGAGCAGACCTAATGGTCGCTCTACCAGAAAACAACATGATAGAGGAACCAACACCACTTCCTCTTTAGGATATCCTAAACCAATGGTGATACATATATCCACATATTTGCGAAGACTAAACTCCAACTCACCATTTGAAATGAACATCAATATACTACCACCCCCAAAGATTAAGGATGTCGCGAATGAAGTCGTCCAATAGGACTACTAATCCTGAAAACCATATTACCACATTTTTATGGATTGTCATAATGGTCACCTTGGATCCTAAGTTGTTATGTATCTTGTTTTCCATGACACTAATGGGATCTTTTAGATTTTGGTTCGACAACCTACCTATGGATTCTATCAAATACTTTGATGCTTTATACAAAAAAATAAGTTTATGAAGCAAATTTAATTAATAATGGGATGGGGAAAATAGCTTAAAATTTGACTAAATACTACTTGATTCAATTTAGTTCCATGAGCTAACTCTTGCCATTTTGAAACAAAATCATGATGATAGCAGCATTCACTAATGAATTAAGGCCACAAATGCTTTTTAAGAAACTATAGAGAAGCTCTCCAAAACTCCTAAATACCTCTTGGATGGGGCTCATAGCTACCTGTCACATGAAGAAATGACCAATGAAAAGGGAAATACAAAACAATGAAGGAATAAAATCCCAGACCTAATATAACACAACATATGAGGGTCAATACACGAATCTTGACCCCTTTAAAAGGAGATCAGTACTCGATTATGATAGAGTTATTTAATGAAGAACCCCCATTATTGTATAAAATTATTCATGGAACACATAGAAGTTTACACATCAAATGGCTATCATAAAGCCAGAGGTAGCTTAGGAAAGTACCCTTTTAAGAATAAACTTAAATATTATGAATACAATGACAGTATTGGGCAAATTACTATGGAATATTGCAACCTAAAGAGAGATGTGGAGAGAAAAAAAATCCTCATAATTGGACATAAGAAAGAACATGAACCCAAAAAGAAATAAAAATGATTCAAAAAAAACCTATGTCTTTAAAGTCTTGATGATAAGCGGCTCCGACAAAGGTGAAACGGATCCTAAGAGGCCACAAGTGGGAACCATAACCTTTGATGTCATGCATCAAGATTGTCAAGAAGATGAACCATTAATAATCAAGGGAACGATAGTATAAATTTCCGTACATTGCATATATATTAACCATGGAATTATAGTTGGAGTGATGTACATACATTGCTTCCTTATACTCACAGCTAGATCATTGGTTACTTTCACAGGACAATCAATTTGGCCAAGAGAAAGACTATGATTATTATTGTCTACACTCAAAGATTACTATAATACCTTGCAAAAAATAGCTAATCTTACTTTTATTATAATATGTGCACCTTGTTTTATAATGTTATCTTTGGAAGGACAAGCATACGTCTAATCAGGGAGGTAGTCTTAACGGTACATGGACTATTCAAATTCTAGGTGGAGGGAAAACTACCATGATTTAGGATATCCATAACTTGTGTTAGAGTATAGAAACTTCCTACAACCATTGAAAAGTGTCATAAAGAAAACCCCTAGGGTAAAGAGAATAAGGATGATGAATAAAAATTGCATGACATAGTTATTAACCATGGCAAGTGATGTGTGGTTAACTATATATATAATAAATTATCAAAGTTTTTTAATCTGTAAAATTAATTTTATCACAATTAAACTGTAACACACACTAGGCAAGGTATCTAACCATGTAGCAGTATAGTTAAGATAAGATCATGTGCCGAACACAATGGGAACATGAATGATTCATATCAGAAAATTATATTGCTAACTAAGCTATGAGCAATAAAGTACAAGGGGAATTTGTTTCAATTCAATTAAATTAAACTATAAACAAAAAGAAAACTAGAGATAAGATTTAGATACAAGAGGTAGAGATGCTTTCACACAGATTTTGTTAGGCCTTTCAGTTATGATAGATTCTAGTAGAGTGCAATGGATATTAGTAATAGTCACTTATTCCTATTCTAGTCAGTTATCTTGGTCTGGTAAACTAACCAACGATTAACTCAATGATAAGTAATGTAATTAAATTGACTATCTAACAATTATTATTAAGTTCGTATTATGAGATATTTGATTTGGTCGAATGATCCTAGTGGTCATGGTAATCAATTTGGTGCATAGATTTGGTTATCTAATGCATGGATAAACATTAAAGTTAATTATTTTATTAACTTAACCCAAGTATTTGGTTCATCTCTAATTACAATTGCTAATTGTTATTAACGGTTATGATTTAAGCTAATAAAGTCATATTTGTTTAGGTAAATTTAGGGTTTGTGGTGGAGATCTAGATACCAACTTGGATCATGATATCACTTTCCGAACTGATCTTTCTACCCTATGTTTGGATTACAAGAAATTCAGCCTAGGATAATCCAAGCGGACACTTACGTCTCTAGGCACAAAAAACGTAAGCTAATATGCTAGAGGATTCTGTGAAAGTATGATGAAAACGAGAGCTTAAGATCGTAACCCTCTTCTGGAGAGGAAGAGTTGTTTATATATTAAACATGATTAGGGTTTCATTAGGGTTGGGCCGTCATTAGTTGCTTTGGAAGCAAGTAATGTCAATCCGGATTTAATGAGGATTTAGGGTTACCAAAAACTAACGATTTTCGTTAGTTTTACCATAATCACCCTCAAGAAATTGAGTTTCGTTAGTTTTAGCGGGACCCCAGCCAGGACCTCTGCCCCTTGGACCCCAGGGGGCGTTGCCCCTTTGGAAACCCCGGGCTGCCCCTCGACCCCCGACTAGTCGTCGAATCAGCTTCTGACTCGATCTTATACATGTGTGCACTCCGCACAACCCCGTACATATATTAGAGTACAAATCATGAAGCCCCTTAGCTCAAATGTTGGTTCTACTTACTTAAAATGACATGGTGACACTAAAATCACCAACAATTGGTCCTCTAAACTCTGTTAACTCGAGTATAGGCAATAAAGATATCAAGAATAACATATATGGGTCTTTAACCAAACAATCTTGATAAATAAACGAAACTAATAATCCGATTAATAGAATCATACAAAATCTTTAAGGTTACATCTACTCTAAGGGTTTTACCCAATAATCAGTTGATAAATAGATAAATAAATAAATAAACATCAAATAAGAATTGCTAAACACGATCGTTAAGCAAACCGATTTACAGTTATAATGCTCCTAGCTTCCGATTCTTCAAATCTTTGCTCCAAAGTCCAAAGTGTTTCTCCAACCTTGAAATCAGCCCAAAAGGGTTTTTTGACGAATATATTTTGTAGGATTTGTCTCTGGTATGTTGCACTTAACTACCCTAAAACTACATCTTAATTTATGGCAAAAAGTTTTTGTATTTATACAAAACAGCGAGTTCACGTCACGTAAGGTTCATTGTCGCGTTGCGAGTCGCATGTATCCATGTTTGTATTGAACTCCTTGATCGACTAGAAGCGTAAATGGATATTGCACGCGTTGTGAATGTCAAATTTTTGGCAGTTTTCGAAATTGATCCTTGTTAACTTTATTCTTATCACAATCCTTTTCTTTTGCTCGCCAACTATGACTTTATATGTATTTATCCAATAAAAAACATTATCATTATCTTTTATGTTTAAATATATCAATTAAACTCATAAATATTAAGATTATCCCTTAAAGTATATGTATAAATATTATCATATTAGCAAGACTCCTACCAAGTTTATTGAAGGACTAAGGGGCATTTGGGATTGCTTATATGAAGTGCTTTTATATATATATATATATATATATATATATATATATATATATATATATATATATATATATATATATATATATATATATATAATATATATATATATATATATATATATATATATATATATATATATATATATATATATATATATATATTCTACAAGAAGCTTTCTTTCAAACATAGGTTTTGAAGTCTGGCATGGTAAAAAATGGAGATGGATTTCACCAACCTCAATAAGCATTTCTTAAACATTATTATCCATTATTGGAAATCGGGTAAAAAGTTTAGTCACTAAAAAGATTTTAATGAAAGTGTTTTTTTGAATGTTTATAAGGGATATCATGTGTATATATATATATATATATATATATATATATATATATATATATATATATATATATATATATATATATATATATATATATATTCTACAAGAAACTTTTTTGGATGTTTATAAGGGATATATATATATATATATATATATATATATATATATATATATATATATATATATATATATATATATATATATATATATATTACAAGAAGCTTTTTTGGATGTTTATAAGGGATATCATGAAGGGAAAAAAAATTCCTTTCACACAGAGAAAGGAACCTTCTCCTATGCCTTTTAGACCGAATATGTTTGAGCAACATATCATAGGCTAGTAGATATATACATCGATGATATGGTCATCAAAACTAGATACGACCCCAACATTCCTTTCAAACATACAGAGGACCTTTGATCAATTACGAATAAAAGTCAAGCCAAAAAAAAATACAAATTTGGAGTCGAAGAAGGTTAACAAGTTAGGTAAAATCATCACAAACATTGAAGGAAATCCAAAGCCTTAACGGATAGTTAGCTTTGCTTGGTAGGTTCTAGCAACTCATTGCACGACACAAAACTAAATTATCCTTCTCTAGAAAAGTTGATTGTATCCTTGTTCCACGCTCCTAAACTATAATCCTTGATATAATATTACACGATAATTCTTTCTAAGCTTTGAATTTAATCAATTAATGTCATTTATCCTTCAAAACTAAATATCCTCATCATAACATCCAAGATGAAATCAATTTGTTTGGCATTTAAACTCAAAGAATAACAAGTATTAAAAACACAAAAGAAGCAACCTTCATATCATGTTATATAATATTTAACACATTTGACACCTTACATGTCTCCAAACACAATCATCAATATGTACCCAAAATCAACATTATATTCAACCATTAACGGTTAACCTATGCGTTAGTATCCAATCACAAACTTAACACACACACACACACACACATAAACACACACTTGACCCATATATCTTTTTTTCTACTCATCAACCCCATACATCTCTCCAAAATAACTATCAACTAAAAGATTAGCCATCACTCTAAGCTCATCATTTTCATGAAATTGAAACCTTTCCATTGCATCAATCCCATCCGCTCTTTCAACTAGTTTTTGTCCCTCACCATTCGGCATCCCTCTCAACACCTACACCATCATCATCATCATCATCATCATTAGAGTAATCTTCATAAATGGTCCCTATGGTTTCCCAAAATATCATGTTTCATCCCTAACTTTTTTCGTTCTCATGGAAGGTCCAGATGGTTTCAATTTCTATCGCGGTTGGTCTGTCAGCCATATAAAATGACTTATTTACCCTTTTTAGTTTCTTTTATAAACTAAAAAGGGTATACAGATCTTCTTATATGGATGAGGGACGAACCACGATAGAAATTGAAACCATCAGGAGCTTCCATGAGACCAAAAAAAGTGAGGGACGAAACTTGATATTCTAGGAGACCACAAGGACCATTTATGAAATTTCTGAAAAATAGTAGCAAAACTTATATAATCTTTTTACCAATTCGATGAAATGGAGTCCAAGTCTTGCAGCTTCAAGATCAGATGATTTAACAAGATCAATGAAGCCACAAAGGCATCCATTTCTAACAAATGAAATCAAATGATCCAATAATAAAAATGGAATCCCGGATCCATTATCATCATCATTGTCATCATTTGGAGCAACACATAAATTTCCCAAAACGTATGCAACTTCTTTTTTGATATCAAATGGTGATGTAACAAGAAGCTCTAATAACAATGAAACTGCTTCACTTTTACATATTAGTTGCTTGTGTGCAACTGATCCTGCAGCTATGTTTGATAGCACCCATGTCGCCTCCTACAAAAAATATATATATATATATATATATTTAATGATTGCAGAAAATAGCACTTTTTTTCTAATAGAAATATGGAAAATAAATATACCTTTTTCAAGAAACGATGCTCGCTTTTCAAACATTTGCTTAATGAACGGATAATACTATCTGGAAATTTCATGGAAAAATTTTATTATTTTAATGTCACAGTTTTTTAAAGGGATTTTGAGTTTTGACATGAAAGTCCTTAAGTTTGTCAAAAAAAAAAAAAAAAAAAGGTTTTTGTCCTTTTTGTTTCCTTTATGTCGTTAAGTTTTTTCATTTTTGCCCTTTATACCTGTAATAGTAGGTTTCTAGGGTACCTTAAAATACAATTTGCAAAAAAGCCCTTAAATTTACAAATCTTTTGCAATAAAACCCTTATTTCGTATAATATGAAAAAGGAAAATCTCTGATAAGTCTCAATATTTTGGGTCAGTTTACGGTTTATTCCCAATATTTATTTTTTGAACAAAAAAGTCCTGATTATCTAATTTTATACGATAATCTGACATTTTCAGTTGAAAAAAACGTAAGGACTATTTTGTTAATTTCGGCAAAATATAAAATAATTGCAAGTTTTCTGTTCAAAAAATAATTGTTGGGATTAAACCATAAACTGACCCAAAATATTGGAACTTTATTGGAGAATTCCCTTCTTCATATTATACAAAATAAGGGTTTTTTTTTTTTGCAAAAGATTTGTAAACTTAAGGGCTTTTTTGCAAATTATATTTCATGGTAACCTGAAAACCTGTTGTTACAAGTAAAAGGGGTAAAAATGAAAAAAACTTGGAAAACTTTAGAACATAAATGAACAAAAAATTATCACTAGGACAAAATCGACAAATCTTGACAAATTTAAGGACTTTCATGTAAAAAGCCCTTCTTTTAAATTATGATATTAGCAATGTGGAATACAACAATATAATAATAGAAAGAAACAAAAGTACGATGTTGTAAATTGTAATACACAAATAAATGAAAGTTTGTTGATATTTCTTAGCTTTACTTTTTATATAAATAAATAAATATATAAAGGAAAATATGAAAATATGAAGAAAATAAAACTAGCCTGTGGTTTCATGTCCAGGATCAAGAAGAATATTGGTGGTGTAAGCATCACCAGCCATGAGATTACCTAAACTCCTCAGCAACTGTATATACATGGGCAAATTTGTAAAAAGATACAAAAAATTTCTTTTCTGCATTTATGAAAACTCAAAAGGGTAAAAAAGTAAATTCATGTGTTACCGGAATGAGTGATTGCAAAGTATTTGAGGAAGCTAATCGATCAACAAGAACTTGAACAATTTCAGTGTTCATTAACACATTTATTGCAACATCTGAAATAGCTGATAAATACACAACCACCCATGCTACTTCAGTTGCTAATTCAACATCCCTGTTCATCAAAATTCAAAAATAATTTCTTTTTATTTCTAAAGATATACTGATAAATAATTAAATACAAATACTAAAGTAGTCTTTAGTGTATACATATATCATTATTGCAAAGATCATATTTTTTTTGTACAAATTAAACAACTAATAACTTTCTTTTTCCAATAATCCGAAAAAAGATTGAGACTTTTTACCAAATTAACCATTTTTATAAAATATATAATTTGATTATATGTGCAAAAAACATACGATTTCTTCAAGTGTCGAAGAATAGCATCCACAACTCCATCAATTTTTATAAATTCTGTTGCAGCCTCTGGGTGTGGTCCCTACATCCACAATCAACAAAAAATTTAAGCAAAAATTATTTCTTTAGAAAAAGTTTCTCCTTTATTTACAAAATACCCTTTAAAGTTTTGATATATCATGTGTGTGTGTGATTGAAAACTCCCAAAAGATTCATATAACAATAATAAAGATGTGATTTGTGGTCCCATTTTCTTGATTTTGGGAGAGATAAAATAGGACCCACAAAATGAAAAAATAAAAAGATTTATAAAAATTAAAAACCTTGATTAGATTTGATAAAGCCCAAGAAGCTGTTCTGACTGTTGTACCCTTGTCTGGAAATATCATTTTTGCAAGAGGAATTAAAGCTCCTTGTGAAAGAAGAAGATCTCTCAATTCCTCACTTTCTCCAGCAACATTTCCTAATGCCCATGCACATTGTTCAGCTACACATAATGAACTTTTATCTACAAATTTATATAAAAAAAATGGATTAAAGATTTATAATGATTAAAGATTAAAGATAAAGTAACTACTAATATGTCCATGTTCAATGTTCATGTCCTACATTGAAGTGATCTTTCCTTAAATCCAAAAACCAAGTTTTGTTATTTGTTAATTGGTTAAAACTTAAAAGTGAAAGTACTTAATATGTCCTACATCAAAGTGTTCTTTAATCTTTCCTTTTTGAAATGTCCTACATCAAGTTCTTTTTTTTTTATCTTTATTAATTAGAAAAAGATTCCATCCCCATTTTCCAAAACTACTCGTGATAGTGAACACTAAATGAAGCATGCATGATAAATAGAGACAATAGCTTAAAAGCAAAAAAGGTAAAGCTAAATGTTACCATGAATTTTGATGTTTATTTTGTTATTTAGAAAGTGGAAAAAAAATCAAGTGGAGCGTATGAAATATAGGAGATGATGCATCTTTTATTAAGACCCAAATAGAATCTTTACACTTTACACTTATATAACCTAGATGTTATTGGAACTTTAGAAAGAACTATTAATATAAAAAGGATTTGTAACAAAATTTTAATTAGATTAATAATCACTAACCTCCAAGATGAGCAATTAGTAATGGTAATGTTGGGACCAAAGCTTTTGTTTCTTCTGGTTTTCCTGCAGCTATGTTTGTAAGACACCATGCTGCTTCAAGCAACTGAAATTTGGAGATAAGTCATTAAGTTGTAATATGTTTTTCTCATAACTTATATAAAAGAAAAAGAGATTACTTGTTCATCTTGTGAGCCAAATGAAAGACATTGAGAAAGTAAAGGTATTGCTCCAGATTTAAGAGCAATTTCAACAAAAGGAAACTCGGATCTTGATAACAATCGTCTTAGTTCACGAAGAGCATTCACCTTCTTTTGAACTGTGTCCTTTCCCCTAAAAGAAAAATGGTTGAAGAATGATCGTTTGTTAAGGAAAAGTATAATGAATCGATCTTACTTTGAAGAAATTGCAAGCTTTAGTTCTTCAACAGCAGAAAGCGTTTGAGCCGTTAGAATTGATGGCTCCTCTTCAATCATCATGTCGCCATGGATGGCGACATCCATGTCGTTGCTAACTACTTCTGTACATAATCGCTTGGTTCTGAACATCGCTTCTCTTCTTTCTTTCGCCACTGAAACAGCATGTTGTCTTCTCCTTTGTACAGCAGCATTCCCAACTGCAGTTTCGAATAAATATAATTGAAATCGCTTGTGATTTGTCAAATTCAAACTCTTTCAATCGTTCGTTTCCCCCAAAACCCAAATCAAACCTTCAAAATTGAAGTAAATAGGGAACTGTATGGTGAATAAAAGGGGTCGGATTCAATGATTCATCCAGACAACATGAAATGGATTCATCACTATATCATCACAATCAACAGAAATAACTGGAAGAGAGAAAAACCAGAGTCAAATTCCATGTGCTATGAACTGTAGAGAAAGAAAGCATGCCTGTATTCTTGATCGGGTCTCTTCTATGAGACGCTGCGTTTTCACCTGCCATTGAAGAAAGATCGTTTTTGAAAGGAAACCCAATATGAGTTTTGGGCGCGCTCGCCAAAGAAGCTATCTACAGTTGTTGGTCAGACAGGGAGTCAAGACTCAAGATACCAAAAGGAGGAATGTGCAATGTGCATTTTGTCTGCGTATGCGTGGATTTTGAAATTAGGGTTAAATCGTAGAATGGTTTTGATCTTTATGTGGGAATTTGAAATGGATGAAGCTCAATTCGAATCGGAAGGCGTTTGATGAAATAAAGATTAATGAGTAAGAACTAAATTTTGGGCGAAAACATAACCATAAATTTCATACAAAAGTCATTGAGGTTTTGTATGGGTTAAATGAAACAAGAAAATATTTTTCAAAATATTATATATATATATATATATATATATATATATATATATATATATATATATATATATATATATATATATATATATATATATACACTAGCAGTGTACCCGCGCAAAGCGGCGGAGCGTGTAAATTCTTTCGGTGATATTTTTCCTCTACAAAAATGTTATGTTACAAAAGAAAGTACATGTCGAAGACAAAATAATCAAACTATGGTGTTATTTGGGAAATGAAGTCATTTTTTGTTCCTGGACGGTGGGTTTTATAGCAGAGGAGGGAGTAAATAGGTATATGCGATTGAATGGATATTTGAATCAACATGCTAAATTTAAGGATATCTAAAAGGGTTCAAAATTTGAATGAATCCGAGATTTGAGGGAACCATATCAAATTGTTGAGAAATATAAGGAGATTTGATGATAAATATTTGAATTCAAAATATGGTTAAAATTTAATATTATTTTATTAATGATTACTTGTACTATCAGCTTCATCATTTGGACGTCTTAAAAAAATATTATTATTATAATCAATCTATTTTTAGAAATAGTTAGATTTCTTTTATAAGATAGTAAAGATATATATTATATATATATATATATATATATATATATATATATATATTATAAAAAGAATTATGAATGACAACTAACCAGAAACTAGTCAAATGCAAAAAGAGTACAAAGACAAAGGGAAATATAAGAATACATGATGCCAAAAAATGACATTCCAACAAATCAAATGGAATTTTGCCACAAATTTAATCAATAACTAGATAAGAAGCCCCGCTTCGTGGGGGTTGGATTCGACACTAATGACAAAGAAAACTGATGGAAGACATTATGTTAAACGTTTGTCATGGAAATAGGATGCTATAATTGGTTGACTATGAAAGTATGATCCTTAAAAAATGCAGTAAAGTAGAAACAAACTGAGATATATTCTCTTTTTAAAACACATATGTTGGGTACAAAATTAACATTTTCAGCTTAATTTACTCTGATAAGTTAATGGCGTTCATGACAGAGCTTCACTTTAGCTAAAAAATTTTGGAAAGCAACTTAAGAGCTGCAACCTCTTCCCTTTTTGCCCTTTCAAAGTGAGCAATCGTCTTAGTTTGTTTTTTTGTTAGTTTTTGCATTGTCTTTTCCATTTCTTGCCTTCTCCTTTCAATAGAAAAGACAATGGTCCATATGAAAAAAAATACATAGGAATGGAGGATTGAAATTTCCAAACTTACCCTTTTCAATGATGGGCTTCTTTTCGGCTTTCATTGATGCTTTCTTCTTATCATTGATTTTCTTGATTTTAATTTTCTATATAGCAGACAAATGTGTTAGGTATTTGATGATGTAATGAAAACATTACAGTTGATTAATTGTGGAGCCTTCCAGAAGATATTCGGTCAACTTTAGATGGTAAAACTGCAATAGAACAAAAAGTTAGCTACTCAAGGGCTCTATAACATGACCTGAATGCAAAAGAGAGATAATTTAATTTTTAATTTGACATAAGAAGCCTGGAATTCTTTGTCATAATAAGGTACTAACTGATAATTTGCAGCTAATTCATTACTATCAACAAAAATATGATTGAAAATGCTAAGAACCACAAGAAAAATATGCACATTATTTTATCTGATTCTAGAAAGAATGCCAAAAACTACCTTCCCTTCCAAAGCTTCAACAAATGCATTACTCTTTACAAATAGAGGTCCTTCAAATCTCGTTGTCATTATGAACTGTGGTTATCATTATTGAACATGTTTCCTATGTGTTGGACATAGTTGCCTCTACATAGCGAAATTGACATATTTGTCCTTCCGGTTCAGTTATAGACCCCCCACAAATGCACACAAAAAAAATGGTTGATGGAATGTAGAAATGTTGGGATATGGAAAGAAATCTTACCAATGTATATGTCAAATTTTACATACCCTTTCTTCAGTATTTGATTCCTCCCTTGAAGATGAGGCAGCTTGATCATCATCACTAAACATTTGATTTCCATCCTGTAAAGCAAATAAGCACATGTCATATTATCATATATTCATTAAGTGGGCATTAAAATACGAAATTTAAAAGTGGAAGAAATAAAGGAGTTTGAACCAAAAATTAAAGGTGGCAAAGTAGATTATTTCTAAACGATTATTAGTTTCTTTAGAAACAAATATATAGACTTAATTTGACTTACAAAGGAGTTCAAACCCTTATATATTACTTCTGTATGTACACAATAATAAAACTTCTAATTTGAGCTACAAATTATCAAAACTTTGAATACCTCTGATACAGATTTCTATCAAACATCATCATATGCCCAAGACTCTTAATTTTGCCTTCAATACTACAATTGTGCATCTACTCAACTCCACGACTACAGTGTATCATATTTTTCTATGAAATTAAGATTGTTGCTCTGAATATTTAAAAAATATAACTAAATACCATTCCAGTCCTAAAAAATAGGTGTTGCACAGTAGCATCACAAGATGGAATTGGGCGTCTGAAAGTAAAACGATCAGGAGTATCATTGATACATGTTCTAATGCATGCTACCACAATCAATAAAAACATTAAAAAAAATAGAAATTAGTAATTCAGTATATGAAAGCAGATCTCACAAAGCAGCTTCAAATGATAGAAAAATAAGGACTAAAAACTTCACTGAAAGTATGAAACATAAACCACTTTACAATTTTACCCTAACTTTCCTCTCCATCTTTTGGTGGCTTGATATTGGTATTATCCAACATGCCAACAGCTGTACCAACTGCATCTTCATTAGCAAACCACGCTTCATGAAGACTGCTTAAATTAGACATCTCAACTGTAAGCAATTATACTATACTAAGCAATTACACTATAAGTAAACAAATTAGGTCAAATAAGCGTAGTATTATTTAATGATGATAATATTATTAATATTAATAGAAGTGCTTAATCTGACTACTGTCATTGTAGAATCTATCAAAACTCCACATCCGGTTTTATCATTCTTTTATGAAAGACCTGGGACAATGCAACAAAATTAAGGGGTTAACTTTGAAAATAAAAATCTTTGGAAAAAGGAAACAAATAAAAGAAAACCGACATGATCCTCAGTATATCGTTGGTGATTTGATGACCATTGTTGATATTCGTATCGAAATGTAAGTGTGTTGCTATTATGAGTAACAAATATAGTTACAAAAAATTGAATTTGATCAATTGTATAAGAATTAAAAATGTAATCCTAAGTTACAAAAGCAATAATACAATTGGTGACCTTAAATTGAGCAATTTACCTCTATTTCTCTTCCTGCCATCATCACCTCCCATCTTAGTTACAGAAAACCCTTCTTATCCTGAAATGACCAATTTACCCTTATTTCCTTTCGTGCCATGATCACCTCCCATCCTAGTTACTGAAACGACCAACTTTTCTCTGCAACTCCATGTTAAAGTAAGACAACCATCCGCCCATAATACCTGTAAAAAAAACTTGTACACCTTATCCAAAAAAAAAAAAAAAAAAAAAAAAAAAAAACTAAAGTACGTTGCCAATATCAAGAGCTTCCAATTAACCTAGGAAGCATCTGTATACCTCCAGCCCTGTAGCAAATATATAATATATGACAACCATTTTTTTATAAAAAAATATACATTTGTTCTTATATTATGCTTTATGCATAAATTGCATACAAACGTGGTATTACAGCAAGACCGGTTGCTGGTAAGCCTAGTTTGACATCTTCCCCTGATGACATATCAAATTATTAGAAAATGAAACTTGTGTAAAGAAAATCATAAATAAATATTGCTAGCCTTTGATCTAGAAAACACATATTTGGATATCGTTTCCGACTGTTGGATACTCCAATGCATATAATCAACTATAAATGGTGAAATCAATGAAGTTAGACATTTACAACTTTTTATTACCCCATAAGGATGAATCTGGAGTAGTGAAAATATTTATAGTTTTTTTATTACCTGATTAACAATGGTAAATGCTCCATGCAGGTTTTAAGGTTGTATTTCCGCTATGTAAGCTGGTACCTATTTGTTATTCGAATTTGACACCTATTTAATGCTACACAAAACAAAACATTTTAGAAAGCCCCATGGTCTGCATATCAGATCAAATTAAACTAATTGGATGGAACTGTGTACATGTGAGTTGAGAGAAGCCTAATTAAACAACCTTAAAATCAGATGTTCTTATATATGTCTCAATAAGGCATTTCATCGAACAGTTGGCCTGCAACTAAGAAGTGGAAAACAAAATCAAAGTAATCAAAATAAGAAATAAATAGAAACGATATCCATCTATATGAACAATTGAAAAATAAGAAATGAGGTGTGAACCATTGTAAGAAGATCTAGAGCTTCTACCACCATTTTCGATTCCTATCCCATCATCTCTTTTCATCGTCACCTGTAAATTAGATATAACCATCAGTATTTTTTAAAAAACATGAATTCATATATGTACTTGGGCTTTATAAACTTTTCTATTGATGCGCTAATGTATGTATCTGAAAATTTTTGAGATATTGATGAAAATCTAACATACTTATTAAGAGAATACGACAGATGAACGAACTGAGTGTGTTTCTCAAATGACACTGCTGAAAAAGAAAACAGAAAAATTGGTAAAATAACCAAAAAACAATTATAGTCAATATTACAATAATTAAATTTTGTGGTAAACCTTAAGCAGGGACAACCGATGTCCGTGAAGATAGAAAATGAATGCAACAACTTGTTAACTGTATCGACCAATGGTTTATGAAGTTCAGAAAACAAACCTGATTTTCTATTTAAATCGATATTAGGGCTTTTGTCGGCCAGCACCGGTGGTAGCAGTAGACGAAAATAACGAAACACACGGAACCAAAATCCATGTTTGTGAGAGGTGTAAACGGATACAAAAGCGTATGAGAAGAAGGATGGAGACGGTAATATCTGGTCTACATTCGTGTATGTATTTGATTAGATAGTCGATGTAGGAGGTGGAAGCGGTGACTGGTAGGTTTGATTGGAAGCCAGAAAAGGGAAACGAAGATGCGAAGGGTACTCGGCAGAAGAATAAAGAGAAAACGGAAGAAGTGAGAAGTTGTGGAAGTGAGTGATTAGAAAGAATGAAGAAGAGGAGGCGGTGGATCGGTTACCCGAGGGTTGGGAAGCAATCGGTAGAGTAGATGGTACGCAATGGTGGAAAAGCGGTGAAGAGAACAGGCGAAAAACACGTAGCATCAAAAGTCGTTCAAATGGCATAAACTGCCCAGAACACAAAATCGGGAAACAAATGCCAAAAGAAACCATGCCCCCATAAAAGAATGACTATTTCTGCCAACCCCTTAGCTACTTTACTGTAGCTAAGGGTGGATAACTTTAATATATTGTATAATAAGACTATGGCCAATGAATTTTACCTTGTTCCAAGATTGCCTCATTATATGTTATATAGAATTGTCATCGATATAGTGTTTTTTTTCGATTTTTACACATTTAGGCACTGAGTTTTTTTCGTCCACATTTACTCCTTCAATTTTGTTAAACTGTACACATTTAATCCTTATGATCGGTAACTCCGGGTTAGCCAGTAAAAATGACTTAATAGGGTAATATATTTCTCATTTTGTACACATTTAATCCTTAATATTTTTTTACACATTTAGTCCTTAATATTTTTTTTTGTCGCAAAATAAGTCAGTTTTGTTTTTGTATTCATTCAGCACTTATTAATGATTTCTTTAGTTTTTTCTCACAACATATGATGTGGGATAGCCATATAGTGGTGGGATAGGTTGAGGTGGTCCTGCTATATGTTGTTGGTCAAGATACCTGGTGCGGGTCGACTATGAGTTGTAGGCATGAAGGGTCGAGAAGAGTGGTTGGGTTAAGACGACATGCCAACAAACCCTGGGTATTTCAGTCTGATGATTGATTGCACCTGTTGCATGTTGGCATTCCAGTCCGATTATTGATTGGGCCAAGGTATTTCAATATGATGAGTGTGGACTCATTATGCATGATAATACATTTGTTGTATCGGGTATTTTGGGGGAAACTCACTAAACTTTGTGCTTTCCCAGTTGTTTATGTTTTCAGGTTCTATCGTTGATTGTGGAAAGACGATGCATGATTATCCACACTCATCAACAATATTGACGATTCCATGTTTCTTATATTACTCCGATTTTCGATAAATATATTTTGAAATAAACGTTTTTTTCTTAATAATGGATTTACAATTAGGGAGTTTTACCTAATTTAAAATTGAAAATTTTTGTTGTGAAAATTAGACATTACACATAAACATCAACAGCCTCATACACTTCATCAATGATTGTTCCACGTAAGATATCGTGAGAAAAACCTAAATAAAACATTCATAACTATTGAATATGTATAAAAACAAAAATGACTTATTTTGAAATAAAAAATACTAAGAACTAAATGTGTACAAAAATATTAAGGACTAAATGTGTACAAAATGAGAAATATATTACTCTATTAAGTCATTTTTCTCGGCTAACCTAGAGTAACCGGTCATAATGACTGAATGTGTACAATTTAACAAGTTGAATGGGTAAATGTGGACGAAAAAAAAAACTCAGTGACTACATGTATACAAATCAAAAAATATATTACTCTTTTAAGTCATATCTCTATCGATACTATTGTAAAGAAGGAACTTATTTTACTAAAATTTGAGACATATAGCTCATATCGGTTATGAATTAAATTCCATACCTTTTAGCTAGCTTTCGCTTGTGCTAATTGTTGCTGCTTAAAAAAAATGACACGTGTTAGTTAAATTTAAAATTATCGATTTTTCAATTAACAGAATATGAAGATATCAAAAATATACATATTTCAATGATTTTATTCAAACATTCAAAAGTCTAAGTGGGATGTCCACAGCTTTAAACAAGACCATGTGATAGACTGAAAGGTATAATCACGTTATCTATTAGCTCTTGGCATTTTTTGGCAACCAAGTGGAAAATTTTTGTTATAATTTAAGGGTATTCAATATATAGTAAAAATCTAACAGCGTTTGTTTACCTTGATATGATATGTGCTTTCTCGATGTTGAAGATTAACAATATAAGCTTCAACTTTCAAAATTGATGTTAATTTGTACAAGAAATATGTTTTAGTTTACTCTGTCAAAAAAACACAAATATTAATTATTAATTCATAAGCAATGAGTCATTTTCTTTTTGGCTTTTGCTGAATTTCATTAAAACTAGCAAAAGAGTTTGTGGTGGAAAAAAACTAGCACAATGGAATTAGATATAACTAAGTTATTTAACCAAGATACCCGGTTTAACATTGACGTGTTATGTTTACGACTACCAAACCAATTAAACAATGTATATATTTAGTCTCATATACACAGTTTCTCTTTTATACTTCTTGGATATGAATATATCAAAATTTTAGAAATTTCATAACATCATTTGCTAGGTTTGGGAGGACCATGGTCGTTTTTGAAATTAAGCGGTATCATCAACCTGTCATGCCCCCCACCCCCGCCACGTTGACCCCCCACTATTTTGGTTGAACCGAAATCAAACTTGTTTTATACAAGTGTACACTTTGTCCATTCTAACTTGTCTAAAGTCAAGATTTGACCTCAATTTGTAATATATAAATTTCATTACATTAGAATTACCATGTAACACTAAAATCACCAACAACCTTCATGTTGTTAACACAATGACACTGATAACCTCAATTTGTAATATATAAATTTCCTTAACCTAAATCCCATTTGGCCATTAAATTCCACCACATCTAGCAATCATATTTACGTTCTTGTTGCCACTTCACAATCATGAAACAAGTGATCGGGGAAATCATAACAAATCAAACATAAAACAGAAGGCATGTCAATTCTTATAGTCACAAAGTTCGGTCTAGTAGGAAGTTTATCCAATAATTATATGCCACATCCAAACTTTTAACCTTTCTAGGAACAAATTGATTACACTTGGTCTCTACCTTGTTATCCTTCAAATTAAGACCATATATATAACTAACAAGGAGGTTTTGGGTTCTATCCCCGGCATATATTAACCCGTCGTTCTAAAAAACAAAATATATATATATATATATATATATATATATATATATATATATATATATATATATATATATATATATATATATATATATATATATATATGATATTTTGTTTTTTAGAACGACGGGTTAGTATATACCGGGGATAGAACCCAAAACCTCCTTGTTAGTTTACATCATATTTTCATAAAATAGGATGTAAAATCTTTTCATTGTAAAATCTTTTGAATCATCTAATG